TGTGAATGGAATTGTTTTCCTGATTTCTCTTTCTGCTAGTTCATTATTAGTGTATAAGAATGCAACATATTTCTGTGTATTAATTTTGTATCCTACAACTTTGCTGAATTCAGATATTAGATCTAGTAGTATTGGAGTGGATTCTTCAGTATTTTGTATGTACAATATAATGTCATCTGCAAACAGTGACAGTTTAACTTCTTCTTTACCAGTCTGGATGCCTTTTATTTCTTTGTGTTGTCTGATTGCTCCAGAACTATGTTGAGTTAAAGTGAAGAGAGTGGGCATCCTTGTCTTGTTCTCAATCTTAAAGGAAAGGCTTTCCAGCTTATTGCTGTTAAGTATGATGTTGGCTGTGGGTTTGTCATATATGGCCTTTATTATGTTGAGGTACTTGCCCTGCATACCCATTTTGTTGAGAGTTTTTATCATGAGTAGATGTTGAATTTTGTCGATTGCTTTTTCAGCATCTATGGAGATGATCATGTGGTTTTTGCCCTTCTTTTTGTTGATGTGATGGATGATGTTGATGGATGTTCAAATGTTATACCATCCTCACGTCCCTGGAATAAATCCTACTTGATCATAATGGATGATCTTTTTGATGTATTTTTGAATTCGGTTTGCTAATATTTTGTTGAGTATTTTTGCATCTGTGTTCCTCAGGGATATTGGTCTGTAATTTTCTTTTTTGTGGTGCCTTTGCATGGTTTTGGTATTAGCGTGATGCTGGCCTCATAGAATGAGTTTGGAAGTTTTCACTCTTCTTCTACTCTTTGGAAAACTTTAAGGAAGATGGGTATGAGGTCTTCACTAAATGTTTGACAAAATTCAGTGGTGAAGCCATCTGGTCCAGAGGTTTTGTTCTTAGGTAGTGTTTTTATTACCAGTTCAATTTCATTGCTGGTAATTGGTCTGTTCACATTTTCTGTTTTTTTCTGGATTTACCTTGAAAGGTTGTATTTTTCTAGAAAGTTGTCCATTTCTTCTAGGTTATCCAGTTTGTTAGCATATAATTTATTCATAGTATTCTCTAATAATTCTTTGTAATTCTTTGGTGTCCATAGTGATTTTTCCTTTCTCATTTCTGATTCTGTTTATGTGTGCAGACTCTCTTTTTTTCTTGGTAAGTCTGGCTAGAGGTTTATCTATTTTGCTTATTTTCTCGAAGAACCAGCTCTTGCTTTCATTGATTCTTTCTATTGTTTGATTCTTCTCGATTTTATTTATTTATGCTCTAATCTTTATTATGTCCCTCCTTCTACAGATTTTGGGCCTCATTTGTTGTTCTTTTTCTAGTTTTGTTAATTGTGAGTTTAGGCTGCTCTAATGGGATTGTTCTTCTTTCCTGAGGTAGGCCTGTATTGCAATATACTTCCCTCTGAGCATGGCCTTCATTGTGTCCTGAGATTTTTGTAGCCTGCTTAGCACGGCCTTCGCTGTGTCCCACAGATTTTGCAGTGTTGAATTATTGTTGTCATTTGTCTCCATATATTGCTTGATCTCTGTTTTTATTTTGTCATTGATCCATTGGTTATTTAGGAGCACATTATTAAACCTCCATGTGTTTGTGGTATTTTTCATTTCTTTGCATAATTTATTTCTAGTTTCACATCTTTGTGATCTGAGAAACTGGTTGGTACAATTTCAATCTTTTTGAATTTACTGAGGCTCTTTTTGTGGCCTAGTATATGATCTATTCTTGAAAATGTTCCATGTGCACTTGAGAAGAATGTGTATTCTATTGCTTTTGGGTGTAGAGTTCTGTAGATATCTGTTAGGTCCATCTGTTGTATTGTGTTGTTCAGTGCCTCTGTCTCCTTACTTACCTTCTGTCTGGTTGATCTGTGCTTCAGAGTGAGTGGAGTGTTGAAGTCTCCTAAAATGAATGCATTGCATTCTATTTCCCCTTTTAATTCTGTATCTGTTTCATATATGTGGGTGCTCCTATGCTGGGTGCATAGATATTTATAATGGTTATATCTTCTTGTTGGATTGACCCCTTTATCATTATGTAATGTTCTTCTTTGTCTCTTGTGACTTTCTTTGTTTTGAAGTCTGTTTTGTCTGGTACAAGTACTGCAACTCCTGCCTTTTCGTCCCTATTAGTTGCATGAACTATCTTTTTCCATCCATTTATTTTTAGTCTGTATGTCTTTGGGTTTAAAGTGAGACTCTTGTAGGGAGCACATAGGTGGGTCTTGTTTTTTTATCCATTCAGTGACTCTGTGTCTTTTGATTGGTGCATTCAGACCATTTACATTTAGCGTGATTATTAATAGGTTTGTACTTATTGCCATTGCAGGCTTTAGATTCATGGTTACCAAAGATTCATGGTTAACTGCCTTACTATCTAAGAGTCCAACTTAACTTACTTAGTATGCTATTACAAACACAGTCTACAGGTTCTTTTTTTTTCTCCTCCTTTTTTTTCCTCCTTCATTCTTTATATATTAGGTATCATATTCTGTACTCTTTGTCTATCCCATGATTGACTTTGGTGTTGTTGATTTAATTTTGCATTTGCTTAGTAATTAATTGTTCCAGTTTCTTTACTGTGGTTTTATTACCCCTGGTGACAGCTGTTTGGCCTTAGGAACACTTCCATCTATAGGAGTCCCTCCAAAATACACTGTAGAGATGGTTTGTGGGAGGTAAATTCTGTCAGCGTTTCCTTATCTGGAAATTGTTTAATCCCTCCTTCACATTTAAATAATAATCTTGCTGGATAGAGTAGTCCTGGTTCGAGGCCCTTCTGCTTTATTGCAGTATATATATCATGCCACTCCCTTCTGGCCTGCAAAGTTTCTGCTGAGAAGTATGATGATAGCCTGATGAGTTTTCCTTTGTATGTGATCCTATTTCTCTCTCTGACTGCTTTTAATAGCCTGTCCTTATCCTTGATCTTTGCCATTTTAATTATTATATGTCTTGGTGTTGTCTTCCTTGGTTCCCTTGTGTTGGAAGATCTGTGCCCCCCCATGGCCTAAGAGACTATTTCCTTCCCCAGATTGGGGAAGTTTTCAGCAATTACCTCCCCAAAGACACTTTCTATCCGTTTTTCTCTCTCTTCTTCTTCTGGTACCTCTATAATGCAGATATTGTTCCTTTTGGATTGGCCAAAAGTTCTTTCAATATTCTTTCATTCTTAGAGATCCTTTTTTCTCTCTGTGGCTCAGCTTCTTTGTATACTTCTCAAATTTCTATTTAATTTGTCATCTCCTCCACTGTATCTAATCTGCTTTCAAAACCTTCCATTGTATTCCTTAATGATTGGATATCTGACTGGAAATTTTTCCTGAGTTCTTGAATATTTTTTTGTACCTCCATTTGCATGTTTATGATTTTTATATTGAAATCTCTTTTCAGGAAGATTGACCAGATCAGTTTCATTTGACTCTCTGGTGTTTGTATGATTTTGGTTTGAACCAGGTTCCTTTGATGTTTTATATTTGTATGTGGCGCCCTCTAGTGCTCAGAAGCTCTACTCTCTGGAGCTGCTCAGCCCCTGTAGCATTGTTGGGAGTTGCAAGGGAGCGGTATTGGTGCCTTGGGGGAGGAAAGAGCTGTTTCCTGTTTCCCAGCTGCTATGCCTGTCTCCACTGCCAGAACCAGTGAGCTGAGCACACAGGTGTAAGCCTCTATGCTTTGCGATTGTAGTTGCTGTAGGCGGGGCTTCCCTCTGGCTGGCCTGACACCATGGCAGGGGTTGCCGGTTTGTGAGCCAGGGGTGGGCTGGCTGGGAGGAAGTTGTAGCAGGCTGCATGTCACAGTGGGGGTCCTTGGAATGCTATCCAGCCAGGTGGGATGTAGCACCTGAAGATCATGAAAGCTCCCAACCTGCTGGGCATGGTGTGTCCAGACAATTTCGTCTACCTGTCCTTTCTCATGAGCTGTAAGCTCTGTGCCATCCTTGCCCCTTTAGCAGCCTTCTCACTGTTAGGAAGTCTCTCAGACTGCCCGCCTTTCTTTTGTCCCAGAGCAGCCGGATATGGATCACTGTTTTCCACAGCGGCTGGAATCAGTCTTTCCAGGTATTCCACCTGTCTTAGCTTTCCAACTCTACTAATCACAAGAACACCATGAAATGTAGGTTTGTGCTCCCAGAGCAGATCTCCAGAGCTAGGTGTTCAGCAGTCCCAGGCCTTCAGTCCCTCCCTGCTCCATTTCTCTTCCTCCCGCTGGTGAGCTGGGGTCAGGCAAGGGCTTGGGTCCCGCTGGGTCACAGCTTTGGGGTTGTTATCCTATTCCGTGAGGTCTGTTCTTTTCTCCACATGTATGCAATCTGGCACAGCCTTCTCTCCTGTTGCTTTCTCAGGATTAGTTGTATTAATTACGTTTTCATATTATATGTGGTTCTAGGAGGAGGCCTCTGTCTCACCTCTCACTTTGCCATCTTTAGTCCTTTCCCTAAACTTTTGAATTTACTGGACTGTGTCTGTACTGACCTTGATTCTTAAATGAGCATCATTCATTCATTCAGCAAATGCACAGCAGCTACTGTTCTAGGTGGGGTCCTGGGGCCCTGACCAACTGTGGATAAAGTGAAGGTTCCTGTGGCCAGGATTCTCACCTGACCCTGGTTGAGGTGGGAATTATTATCCTTATTTTATAGATGAAGTCACTGAAACTAAGAAAATAAAATAAGTTGTCCAGTTTTCATAGCTACTTAAATAGAGGGCCATAGATTTGAATTGAATTTTCAGACTGTGAGTTAAACAGTTTTGAAGAAAGCTATGCTTTTGGAACTAGATAATTTATTATATGTTAAAACCCAGTGTTCATGAGAATTAAGGAAATATATGGGTAGAACACAGAACCCAGTACTCTGTCATCTCTAAAATAAATCACTCATGTTATGGTCAATGTGTAACCATCTAATTGCTCAAATAGCAGAAGACTCAAGTCTGTGAAGTATTCTGTATTTTTCAGATGTTTTGGGTGATTTATGTTAAATTTAAATGTTGGTATTTTAAAAAATAAATGTTTGTTTTAAACAGTTGCTAAGCCAACTTAAAGGAAATTTAGAAGAAGAAAATCGACATCTGCTAGATCAAATTCAGACATTAATGCTACAGAACAGAAAACTACTGGAACAAAATATGGAAAGCAAGGATCTTTTTCATGTTGAACAAAGACAGTACATGTAGGTACCAAATAATTTTGGCACTCTGAAATATTATTCATGATTTCATCATTGCCATATCCAGTGGCAGAGAAACTCAATGCTAATTTTTCTTGATTTTTGACATTATTATTTCAATATATGCTTTTCTGAATGCTTATGCTTCACACATTATGTTAAGAACCAGAAGTACTAACATTTATACATGTAGGTTCTGCTCTTAAAGAACTAGTACTATAAGGGAAGCAATACAAATCATTGCTATAATGGAAGTATGTGTAGGAGGTCATAAAAATAGAGCAAACATAGTAAAAAGGAGTACCTTAGTCTGGGAGAGGCAAGGAGGACTTTACAAAGATGGTTGCTTGATCTGAGACTTAAAAGTTCAATATGAGCTCACCTGAGGAGGTATACTAGGCCAAGAGAGCAAAATATGTAAAAACACGAAGTATGTTATAGTATGGTATAAGATCTAAAAAGTAATTGTTATTGCCTGGAGCAAAACTGAGGAAGGAGGAACACCAGAATAGTGGCTAAATACTCAGGGGCCACTTTTCAAAGGTTTCTCTATGCCATACAAAGGAGTCATTGAAAAATTTGAACAGGAGAATAATATGATGGAATTTGTATTTTTTTTTAAACCACCGATAACATTTTTCTAGAGTATGAATTTGAGCTTCTGAGAATAGAGATGAGTAAATTTTAAGAAGGCTGTTGAAGTGATCTGTTGAAAAATAATCACAAGCAGTTGTAACAAGATCAAATACAAAGATAGATCTGAGAGAGAGAACTGACAGGACTAAATTGGATCTCTGTTGAGAATAGAGGAATCTGGTAAAATCGGGGATTTTAACCTGGGCATCTCAGTGAATTAACTGTCTTAGTATTGAACCATGATTCACCTTTACTAAATTTTTCTCTTCCCCTTGTTCCCGAAATGAGAAGCACCATAGTATAATAGAAATAGCATAGATTTTTTGTTTTGATACCCATCCTAACATGTAATTTTTGTTGTTATAGTGATAAGTTAAATGAATTAAGAAGACAAAAGGAGAAATTAGAAGAAAAAATAATGGATCAATACAAATTTTATGACCCATCTCCCCCTAGAAGGTACTATTAACCAAATTTATTCATTCATGACTTGACAAAAAAAGTTATTTAATTTTGTGAAGGATTTATATGTTGAATTTTAGGCTGATAAGATTTTTTAAACTATTAGGAGAGGCAACTGGATTACTCTGAAAATGAGGAAATTGATGAAGTCTAAGAAAGATATTAATCGGGAACGTCAGAAATCTCTAACATTAACACCTACCTGCTCAGACTCCAGTGAAGGATTTCTTCAACTCCCCCATCCAGATAGTCAAGACAGTTCTTCAGTAGGTTCAAACTCTTTAGAAGATGGCCAAACTTTGGGGACCAAGAAAAGCAGCAGTGAGTGTTTAAATTCTTTAAATATGTGTGATTTCTAGTCTGATTTAGAATCATTTCTAAAGATTCCTCTTAAATAACTTCAACAGTCCTTTGGGATAATAGTCTGATGAATCATTTCTTTTTAATGCCATGTAATTACAAAATGCATTGCATACTGCAATACTGCATAACCACATGATTTGCTATATTGTGTGTTTAGGGATATACTATACACAAAGATACCATCATTTGGCCAGGGAGGTAAAATAGTATAGAAAGAACATTGAAATAGGAGCCAGAATACCTCTGCCAGTTTCTAGTTCTGTTAATACAAGGCAAGCCTTTTTTACCTTTGTGTCATACTTCATAGGGTGATTATGAGGTGTGAAATATTTGTAAGAAGTCATTTTATATAGATATTAAGTCATTTTATAATGAGGTTTTATTCTTATATATTGATGATGTCAAATTGGAACAAAGTTACATTGGGGGGTAGCAAAGAGAAATAGATATAAATTTGAAGAGAATGTTACTCAATGATTTAGAATTAATTGAAGGTTATGAGAATTGAGTGGTTGGTAAATGACCAATTATAATTAAATAGATGTGGTGATAGAAGTTTGTGTATAAACTTGTGATTTCATTTTTTTTAATTACAAAGGCAGAAGTACACATCATAATGTACCACATATAATTCAGAGTCTTTATATTTCTTTTCTAGTTTGCTTAGCTAAACAGCAAGAGCAAAGGAAAAGCCTGAAGAAGCATATTTTAAGAGAGAAAAAAGTCTAGTGTTAGGCCTTTTGAAGATGTCCAAGAAGCTGACCACTAGCAGTGGTCTTACAATATGTAAACAGGGTACTTTGCATCCATTCACACTATCCCCAAAGTCACTAAATTAAAAATACGTATTTATATGTATATAAATATAATATGTATGTTTATATAATTTATATACTTACAAACATATGTTATATAGAATAATAGTGAAATTATATACATATTATATATAGGAAGTATATGAAGTAAATAGGCAAAAACAGCTATAGCTAATACTTCCCCCCAAGATACACTCTCCTTATGGGCAGCTCTCAAAACACTCAAAATTAACTATAACCTTGGGGGAATTATCTCTGAGAAGAGTATTTTTTAGGGTAAAAGAGATTAGACATTCATTATAGGATATGTTTCTGAATGCACCTATATCACTCTAAAAATCCATATGTAAGGAACAAAAACCATCATATAATACATATGTACATGTCTACATATATGCATAATGTGTGTTATGCATACATATGTTTGTATTAGTCTCAAGAAAATGATTTAATTCTATACCCCGTGTGTGTGTGTGTGTGTGTGTTAGTCTCAAGAAAGTGGCTTAATTCTATACCCCCACATAAGATTATTGTTACCTGGGTCTTTTACTAGTCTTGTTAGCAAATGTACATGAAACCTGAATATTGTAGAGAGATCAAGTTTTCCTTAAAAAGGTGCCAGGTAATTCAACTTTATCTGCCACCTTTTGAAATAAAATACCTAACATCTTATTAAATAAGAGATGGTAATGGACACACTTAATTTTTTTGATCAAAGGAAGATACTTCAATGCAGATATGAGAACATACACAAGAAAAGCACAATCATTTTTGAGGGCATCTTGTTTGTTTTAAATACAAATTTGTCATTCCTTCATACTCTCTGCTGAAACATTTCGAGAGTAAGAATCAGAAGGAAGTAATATTCTCCTTTCCTGCAGTTGTTCAGTTTTAGAAGTTTTAAAAGAAATACAAAATCCAACAATGCTAACATTCCCTTAATTTCAGTATGGTTTGGGAAAAGAACATTGTATATCTACAAACTAACTGCCGTAAGAGGGATCACATTCCACCACTGGCGTACTTAAAACTCCTTTTATCCAGTCCATTGGAAGAGTGTCTGTCAGTAAAGCAGTCTTTGGAAAACAGTTGAAAACAGAAAAAGTGTCTAAACAAGACATGTGCATGCTGCAACCACTCAGCTTTGTTTTAGCTAAATGTCCATTTTTGCTTTCAGTTCATTTCTTTGTAATCATTGATAACAGCTGTGTTTACCAATCTAGTAGAGAAATAGTTCAGATTAAAAGTTTAAATGAATCAAGACCATTCCTAATAGCAAATAAGTTAAAAAGCTGTATGTGAATTGCATTCTCCTTGATGAATGATATTTGTCAGTTTGTCAAAGAGCTTTAATTATTTACAAGATGACAGCAAGCCCCAAGAAAGAGCATAGTTACTAAGGCTGTGTACAGTATGCTTTTAAGACTTTATGCAGGTTGTTTCCCTAGCTCCTCAATTGCAATTCCAAAAGATGTTATAACTTTCTGTATTCAAATCTGATAAAATGTAGTTTATAATGTTGTTAGCAACTCTAGTGAACATTTTTATTTGTATGCTGTTGACACCTACGTATAACCCTAATTTTCATTCACAAAATTTTTTAGAAGTTACCTTTGATTTTTTCAATAAACTCATTCAGAAAGTCCTTCAGAATATCTAATGTTATAAATGCATATTTCTCTGTCATTTTTGCTTGCTTTAGGGTGCTTCCTTATCTATTAGCTTATATATTAAGTGCTAGCATTTATTACTACTGTCAGAATACTTTTCTCTTCCGCCAGCCAACCTTTTGCAAAATGATGTGAATATAATTACTAATGTTATCTTTTGAAAGATTTTGCTCAAAAGAGTGTGTATTTCCATAGTGCTGCTAAAAATACACCAGAATTCAGTTTATACCAAGAATTCCCTATTTTCTGCAGTAGAGTTTAATAATGAAAGTTCTTAATGAAAATATTAAAAGTTTCTTTAGACTGTTTTAATCATCCCTGGGCACCCCAGTTATGGTTGATGTATTTACTCAAATGCTCCTGTATAGAATTTGTATTTTCCCAAATTATGTTTTTTCCAGAATTAAGCCTTATAATTTAAAAAGTAGAAAAAATAAAGGATTGAAAAGCCTTTAGATATTTTCATAACATATGCTTTGTGGGCCACCAATAGCCCTAATTTAAAGGTGAACCTTTACAACTTAACTAGGAAAACTTTTCCTTCTGTAAGTGACTCTAATCACTTCCTGTATTTATAGGATGCTAGCCAATCCAAGCTTTCAAAATATATTGTTCCTTATCATTATCTTCAGTGTTTTTCCAAGTATTTTAAAGTATCAAAGGGCATATTTCATATTTCATTATCATTCAGCAGCAAAAGAATAATAGCTTTAGTATAGCATACATAGCTGAAACTCAGACATTCATTTCTGTCCTTAATTTCAACATTTAACTCCCATCTGTTCTTCTCCCTTTTTTCTTTCATTTTTCTGTTTCTGTTTTTCCTCATGCTCTGACATTAAAGTGGTTGCACTGAAAAGACTGCCCTTTTTGAGGAACAGACCGAAGGATAAAGACAAAATGAAGGCCTGCTACCGTCGTTCCATGTGTAAGACTTTATGACAGTTCAGCTTCTTTCAAATGACTACACTGGCTTCCATTACTAATTTTTCACTAACCTTTCTCTGGACTGTGCCAATTTTCTTATTTTTCAAAGTGCAGTCTTCCTCTAATAAAAGGAGCTGGAAGAATATTTTTTTAAAACTGGCACTGAATTTGCATTATATGTATGCTCAGATACATATAAGTGCATATATTTAGTCATACACGTAATATAAATTTCCAGTGCTTTCTAAGAGTTGGCAGGAAAAAAAAAACCTTTAATTATATGTTATAGAGATTTTTTTCCCAAATAAATTTGCTTAAAACAAAACCTTTAGCATTAGGAATTTATTTCCTTAATGAACGAAATTAAATATAATAAATAAATAAAATGGCTTGTAACTCTTGAAAATGTTTGTCATTCTTTATATAATAATACTCTGGTTTTTCTAAGTTGAATTGGTAATTATATAATTCATTAAAAGTCTGTCACTTTGGATATCTCTTTCAGGTTTTTACTGAGTGGTACACTTATTTGATTCATAAATGAATAATTTCTTCAGTAACCTGCTCTGACCAAGGACTCTTTATCATTTTCAATGATGATGCTGTACAAGAACTGCTCTCCATCTTACCTTTATTCATTCCATTTTTGTCACCATAAAACCACACTATGCAGGCTTTAATTGTATTGCATATTACTGCACAAAAGCATGACAGTTGTACAGAGTAAAATTCCTTTTCCTCTCTTTAAAGGGGGTAGAGGTGGAATAAAAATATTCATTGAAATTTATCAAGCTTTGGCCTACTCATTTCATTCAGCTAAATGCATGTCATAATTAGAATGACATTATGGTTATAGTTTTTGGTGTTCATTTGCATTAAGCCATAGACAAAACCAGCTCATTTGTAATACAAAATAGAGATAAAAGCATATACATTAACCATGCTGATTCATTTGCTTTCATTTGCATCCCAGCCATGAATGACCTGGTACAGTCCATGGTCCTAGCAGGACAGTGGACAGGTAGTACTGAACATTTGGAGGTTCCTGATGATATTTCAACGGGTAAAAGGAGAAAAGAATTGGGAGCTATGGCCTTCTCTACTACAGCCATCAACTTTTCAACTGTCAACTCTTCTACAGGCTTCAGATGCAAGCAGTTGTTTAATAATAAAGGTATAGGCCATCTGCTATTTGCACTGTGGTGTAACTATTGGCAACAGGAATTTTAATTTGATTTGCCTGTGTATAATTTTGATAGCAGCAACCTGAAATAATTATCAAAACAATCTGGATTTGAATTGAAATCATTTAAAAAATTTAAAACATCATACAAATAACCGAAATCTTTCCTAGGCTTGTCATAATAAACAGCTAAAGAGCAAACAAGCAAAGGAAAAGGTAAACCAAGTAAAGAGTGAGAAAAGGAGAAGTAGAAGCTTTAAAAAAAGCCTAAAACACTCCAACTTCTAGCATAGAGAACCAGGTAGAACAACCCAGGGTCTAGCTTTGCTTTGCAGGGTCATGGGAGATTGTCTCATTGCTTCTTGTGTTTTCACTAAGTGAATCAACTCTCCTCAGAGCTATTCTGTCTTGCACCTAGTTCCAGTTTCTGGTTGAATCCATGAAATATGTTAAATCAAGATGTATTATCTATGACTGAAAAGAATTTCCATATTCTGCATAAGTAATTTTATAATGGCTTTTTTTTGGTTAAAAATATTTTTATATCCATTTTGCTCTTTTATGTAGGTACTACATCCTCTGAAGATGTAAGTCCACAAGGTATTAGTGATGATTCTAGTACGGGATCAAGAGTTCATGGTAAGATACAAACTTTATGTAGAAAGTAGTTATTATGTACAGAATGGGAATGCTAAGACTTAGATTGTATTGGTGAATGTGGCACTGCCAGCAAGCATGTTTTCTTTAACTTATATAGCTACCTCTGCCATTTCTTCAAGCCTAATACTTTCTTTTGCCCCTTTTAAGGTTATTCATCTAAATATTCTCTATTTTAGTCAAGGTCATTCATAAAGTATGCCTGCACAAAGGTAATTTTGTGGCTATTTTGGTATAAGATTAAAGTTATGAGTGATACATTTTACCAGTGGTTAAAAAAATACTTTGGTAATGGATGAACTTTAAGAAACCACATTTTCTGCAATGTTGAATGTCTGTGATTTTTAAGTTTCTATTTTGAGAATATCTTGCCAAACTAAATTATTAACAATAAGTGGATAAGATGTTAAAGGAATTTCATATATAAGCAGAACTTTAAGAAATAGGATAGAGCCATGTTAGCTGCAGTTGTTTCCCTTGTGTGGATAGGAATACAGGACATTAACTGTGCAGGTGCTCATATTCCTCCTATTTGTGGCATCTCTGCAATGTGCAGGGTACCTTGTGTGATCTCTTGTAAGTGACCTAATCACTAGCACTTTTCTGTGGGGAACATGTCATCCTGTTCAACTAAAACAGTCTTGGTGGCCATCTAGAAATCATTTCCAAATCTAAATATGCACTTTATCTTCTTTTCTTTGAATCTTAACTATTGTTCCAAAGTATTTATCTGGAAATGCCTGTGCTCTCTAATCTCTAAGATTCAACTTTCTGTGGGCATGTTCAGCCTGTGAACATATGCATGATTGCTTCCTGACAGCATTCTGTGATCAGAATGTAGAGTTTAGTGGCATTAGCAGGAAGTTTTATCACACTGTCTCCTGATTTTTTCATTTAGCTTCAAGACCAGCCAGCCTTGACAGTAGCCGAACATCCGCTAGCAATAGCAATAATAATGCTTCACTCCATGAGGTCAAAGGTATGCTGTAGGTGAATTTATTAATATGCTCCATCCATTGCCAGATTTAAAAGTGGGAGACTGATGAAGTTTCTGGAGTAAAGTATGAAATCCAAATCATGTACTCATCACATTGTAATACAAATGTATTTCAATGTATACAAATGTAAAAACAGGAGCAGTTATTGTGGTTTCCATGTTTCATCTTCACAGATAAAATTTTTTTATAATCTTTACTTCAAAAATATATGTAGGTCCTCATTTTACTTGTTTTGTCTTTGTCATGAAAATGGTTGTCCTTAATTTTTTGTCCTGATTCATGAACATTGAACACATTACACAGTTTTTTAGAGATACTTAATAGCTTAATTTATCCACAAATACGGGGAATTATTTTAACTTGAGAAGACATTTGTGTGTAACAAGAGCTAAATGGATGCATATAGCTCATATAAAGAATTATTTCAAGATACTTTCCCTTAATTTTTTAACAAGCATTCCAACATAATATTTTTATATGTAAATGTCTGGAAACCTTGACTAATATCTTTTTCCTTAAAGGTATACTGCCTATTCAGATTATAGAATTGTTTAATGGATTATAAAGATTGGTTAAAGTAGTTGTTCTCTGCAGTCCAGAATTGTCAAATTATAGTGAATGCATTCTGTTGCTTTTTGTATCATAAAATGATTTTGTTCAGTTGTAATTTTATCATTAATGCTATATGACTGTGTTGTAATGCTCTGAAAAATCTGATTTCAAGGAGGGAAAATGTTTTCATTTTTATAGTCATGTTCTTATATCCAGTACAGAAATGTAGTCTGAAAATATAAAGAAGTATTTTTCTGTTTTGAAAACTTAAGGAAATCATATTTCTATAAAATGTTACATAACTTACACCAAATCTTTCATGGCCCACTTTACTCTCTGTAACTAGGAAACCATAAAAAGGTGGATTTTTCTATCTCAATACTGTATATCACTATTGATCAAAATGAATCACGATTCTTAAGGAATGGCATAAACTATAGGGTGCTTTTTCCAGAACTCCTAATTTGCATTCTCTACAGTTGTGCAACCTCAACTGATCTTTTAAGGTTATGTAGCCACCATACCAACAGTGGAAAGCAGAAAAAATCAGATAATTCAGATATTAAGTAAAAACTAAGTACTACATATTTGGTTTTGTATTTTTACTAGAATTATCTAAGTAAGTCATCATGTCTCCATTTGACTTTCTTATGTAACTACCATTTAAATTTAAAAAATTTCTTTAAGGTTATTCATTTAGGGTGAACAAAGAAGCCTTCAAATAAAGAATAAAGACTTCATAGTGAGGCAGAGAATTAACATTTTTAGCATTTAAAAGTTTTGATCTTAACATTTTTGAAATAATTTAAAATTCATATAATCATGTTTTCAAAATTGTGAGGTGTTTTATAATTATTTGAACCTTAATTTTTAAAAATGTATTATTTGTTTATTTATTCATTCATTCATTCATTAGACATACCAAGTGCTTGTTTTGTATGTTTAGGCTCTGGGTAAGGTGATGAAAGCAAATCTTTGCCCTTGTGAAGCTTATAATATTTGTCAATTTGACAAAATAAGGAAGCAGGCTATGGTAGACTGAATGAAAGACTAACATGGTTTAAACATTTCTAAACAAAGCTTGAAAGTCAGTTTGGCTATTCATAAAAATCTAGTCAGTAAATGTTATTACTTACATAGTTTTTATCTCATTTCTATTATTAAACTCTAAATGCATCATTTACTCCCAAAGCAGGTACAGTTACTACCCAAAGCAGGCCACAAAGCCACAGCAGTGGAGAATTTAGCCTGCTTCATGACCATGAGGCTTGGTCCAGCAGTGGTAGCAGTCCAATCCAGCACTTGAAAAGACAAGCCAGATCAAGTCCAGTGCTCCAGCACAAAATGCCTGAAACATTAGAGAGTCGAGCACATCACAAGTTCAAAACTGGTTCCCCTGGAAGTGAAGTTGTTACTCTGCAACAGTTTTTAGAAGAAAGCAACAAGCTTACCTCAATACAGGTTAGTTTTATGTATGATTAATTTAGAAGGACACTACAGTTAAACTTCTGTGATCAAACTTTAGAGCTTTTCTTTTTAAAGGAGTGTTTAGAGATACTAATGATTTTATATCATACAGTCTAATGTATCAGGAAAGTAAAAACATGGCTGTATTCACTAATCTGCTTTGATTTTTTTTAACAGATAAAGTCCTCAAGTCAAGAAAATCTTTTAGATGAAGTAATGAAAAGTTTGTCTGTCTCTTCTGACTTTTTGGGAAAAAACAAACCAGTTAGCTGTGGTCTGGCCAGGTCAGTAAGTGGAAAATCTCCAGGAGACTTCTATGATAGATGGACAACTAAGCCTGAACAATTTGTAAGACCTGGTCCTCAAAAGACTGAAGATACTTATTTCATTAGTTCTCCAGGAAAACCTAAACTAGGCACACAAGGAAAGATAAAATTAGTAAAAGAAACTTCTCTGTCACGACAATCAAAAGATAGTAATCCTTATGCCACTTTACCTCGCGCAAGCAGTGTGATCTCTACTGCCGAAGGAACTACTCGTAGGACAAGCATCCATGATTTTCTGACCAAGGACAGTAGACTGCCTATGTCAGTTGATTCACCACCAGCTACTGCTGATAGCAACATCACTGCAGCATCTAGTGAGTACCGTTTACATCAGGGGTCCTCTCGTGCACTTCACAGTCCAACATATGCTGTAGGTTCTTGTGCACAAAATGATTTAGCTACACATAAGCCAGAGTGTCTATATGTCCAGGCTGGAAACTCAAGAACAGAAAGGTCACATTTTTTAAACCAAACTTTCGCCACTATTAATATGCCTAATTATGCATTTGGAATATCAGCTAAAGATAGCACAGAGTCATTTACTGGGGCTCATCCATCTCAGCCATTTTTATCCCTGAATACAGAATTAGTTAGCAACATAAGTGGATTACCTCCTAGGCCAGTCCCCAGAGTAACTGATCAGGCTTCTGCCTCTTTGGATAAAGCTGCAGGAAAAGATAATGAACAGTTGTCTGATAATCAGAACCCTAGTAACAATAACCCACAGTCTTCTGTAGATACAAGTAATCTTATCACTCCTGCATGCCTCTATCCCAGTGACACAGAAGCTACATTGTTGGTTTCTGAAGATAATCACACTGTCTGGTATGAATATGGTTGTGTATGATCAAAACCACACAATATAAAACTGATGTCATTTGATATATACTATACTTCTCTAATCTGATTTGAAGAGCTGCTGTAAAAAGCTATCATTTGGCTAGGTTTATATTTTCAGTTTTAAATTGTGGCATAGTGTTCAGTTGTACATGATGGCATATATACAAACATAAATGTGTAACCCCAAAGCCTACATGAATAATTAATTGCATTGTGCACACTGTCTGCATGACCTTAAAAACCTTAACAATATATGCTCTTCTTTCACATTTCTTGTCACCTGATAAGAGAGTACTCTGATACCTAGAAGCATGTTAAAATAGCTGCATGCTATAATTACCAAGAAGGCATTTCCAAGTCACATTTACTTTGTTACTTAAAAAAAAAAATGCTCATTTTTTCCCTCCCTCTCTTTAGCTTTCCTTCTCCCCCTTCCACCCTCTCTTCCGCTCATCCCTTTTTTTCCAGAATGTGTGCTTCATATTGCACATGCATGGTATTAGTAAGGGGAAAAAATATTTAAAAGGTGCCATTTTTTTTTTGCCATTTAACTATGCCTTCTGCCCTGCTGTTTTATTTTCAAAGAAATAGTTAATAACTCAGTTAACACTTTGTGTAGCAAATATTAACTACTGCCCATATTTATAAAATTGTTGAGATTTAAAACATTGCTAATACTCATAAATTCAGTATAATTATTTAAAAAACCATCAAATTCAAATGTGACATATACAATGACTAGGAGCATTTGTATTAGTTTTATTTCTTCTCTGCACTTTTCTCCATCTGATAATATAAGAGCTCAAGTACTATCTTACCTTCTAGACAACTTTTTTATTTGGAATCAGTTAACACAATAGTTTTTCCATTACTTTTTTTATGTAGAGTCAAAGAAATAAACCAAATCATACTGAATGTGTTGGAAATTTGCATTTTTCTTCTCTTCAAAAAGAGTAACAAGTTAAAAAGTGATGAAGATTGTTACTTCTGTAATTAATTTATAATTAAATTATACATGTCCTTAAAACAGAATTTTCTAAAATGAGTACATTGTGCTAAAATAAAATGTAAGATTAGAATTTGTAACCATCTAAACAAAGTATGTTTTTGGTAGAACAAATTTTGGAACTAAGAATAAATACAAACTTTTAGTTAAACAATAAAAAAACCCATGTAAGATAGAAAAATATTTACTAACTCTGACTCCATTATCATAAGCTTTAGATTATCTTGCTGTGGTCATAGCGTGTTTAAGCAAAATCAGCTAAACTTGAATGTCTAACTCCCAGAGTAAAACAAAAACCTCTAAAACCCTATAACCTGATTCACTTACTTCTGGAGGAGTTTGTCTTAGAATGTTTTTGCCATTTAATTCAGCCTAAATATTACTGGTAATAACTCAGGCTGGCATCTGGAAGGAATACATAACTTTCTCAATGGGAAGGAAATTATTATTTTATACATGTTAAATTATTATTGTTATTAATTGAGCCAAAGCAAACAGAATCTACTAAACCTTTGCTTAGTGAAATTTGTATCCTTTGCAAATTAAGCCATCCTCTTGTACTTACAAAAGATTAATTCAGGGGCTAGGCCCCTTCCATTTGTATCTTTGACTACACTCCTTTTCCCATAACAAGCTATTACTAAAAATGGTAGTGCAGGTGATCAAATAAAATCAGAAAATTTTCATATTTCTATTTTCTAGCACCACCTATTTTCTACTTGAGTATTCTGTCTGTTTTATTGTCAGTTGTTTCACAGCCAGTCTTAACCTTTCAAATGTTTTTGGTATTCCTTTTCTTTTTTTATAACCTAATAATAAAGGTAAATGGTAAATGTAGGTGAGATTAGATGAGGACCATATAGGATACAAATGTAATAATTAGTGTTATTTCTTTTCCATATAGTCAGATTATTTCACAACCATTTCAGCTTTTTAGACACTATAAATGTAGCCATACATTAAACTTAAAAATTAAACTTATTTATGCAAAACACATTGAGAGATCATGTGCTATTGTATTAAAAATTATGTGATTATTTTATAAAGTTAGACTTATAGGAAAGTAGTTATTTCCAATCCAAATGGCTATAGTTATATATACAGCATGCTTTCAAAAAGATGGTACATACTGTGCATGTAAGACAGGTATATACCATATCCATGTGTCTTGAGGATTGTCTGAGAAAACAGGCTAGATTTCCTCCAGAAACTACCACTAGCTGTGGAGTCATAAAATTCCTCCAAAACACTAGGTTCTTACCTATGTTTCTTCATAGCACTTAAAATAAAATTTTTAGCAATGGTAAAAACCTTAGAAATCACATAAAGCCAATGTTTCCTAAACTTGAAAAAATCAACATAATGCTCTCTATAAATGAGATTTTACAGAAATGCAGTTTTTTCTTCTTAAGTGATAAAAGTGTAGCAATTCTAACTCAACTGAGCAGCTGCACTTTTTTCCTCTAAAACATCTCCGTAAAAACCCTACACCTTCACAAAGTATTATTTGAAGAACTATTTGGAGATTTAGTCCCCTAATTTTTATATTAAACTGAATAGCTTTCATATACTTGGCCTAAGTTTCTAGAAATTCTACCCTTATTATTTGTGTGACATTGTAAACTATATTAGGCATTGGATCCCTTTTGACCAAAGCAATTTCAGCTATACCCGTTTAAGTGGGCATATTATTTGCCTATAAAATATGCTTTAAGCCCTGTTTTTTTTTAGTAGATAATACAAATATTTCACTGTGGATGTTTCTGTTGCTGCATAAAGGATTTTTTACTTTAAAACCATATGAGACCATTTAGTAAATAAACATAGTATAAGTGAACTTATCTGACTCTAAAAGGGTATATTATCTTAGCTTTTAATACATAAAAATCAGTCTTTAAGTAATGAGATGTTTTGTAGATTAACAAACTTCCCAAAGTTAGATACCTTTCTCCTTGCCCTAATCAGTGAGAGCTCTTTAGTTCTTATCTTCATGAATTGTATTCTTTTTAACCTTTGATTAAATAACATGAAATGCTTTTCTCCTGCAGATGTGGACAAAGTACAAGAAAGCAGAAATTCAAAAAGCAGGTCTAGGGAGCAACAAAGCTCCTAATTCTATTACCCACTACATGACATGTGGGCCAAGTGGTGAGTTTCTTGCTTAAAATGTAAATGAGATTAGTCTCATTTATACAAACTAACTGTGTTAAGAACAAGTGCACATTGCATTAACAGATCTAAATATTGCTTGCTTAATCTGTGACTTTCTGCCCTATTTACTAGTAAAACAAGATCAGTTAATTGCCTTAAGTTTTTGCGTATCAATGTAGGAAACAAACCTTTAAAAAAATTTTTTTCCTCAATATAAATTTGATTTTTATGAGTGAATGTTTTAGGAATTTTTAGTTTGAAGTCTTTTTTTGTGGTAGGAATACAACTTCCCCACAATGTTAATTGAGAATAAACTAAATGACTTTTCTAGGAAGAGCCTAAGAAAAATTGTCTCTTACTGTCACTTTCATTCCTATAGAAATATCTAGTGCATGCTGTTCTTACAGTAGCTACTCTGTATTTTATCTCTCTTATCTTCAAGCTTTTCTTATATTTTCTTTCTTCTTTCTACCTTCCAACTAAATACAGAGAGAAAAGTGTCGTTCAGTTTTTCAATATGAAGCCTTTATTTCTGAAGTAACAAGACACCCAACTATAGGAATCATTTTTAAAAATCTTTAAGGAGACTTTAAACAATCCTTCGTGACTAGAGCAGGCAAGAAATAGAAACCTTCATTCCTTCCTTGAATCAAGGAGCACTACTGGAATCAACTGCCAAAAATTTTAGAAGGTTTTAGGACTTACTATACATTGTACTGTTAATATCTGCTGAATAAAGGATGTTCTCTCACTAAGGACCAAGTGTTTTAAGGTTTCAAGAAGTTCTCCAAGAACAATCTACTTCTTTCATCATTTGTTTATTCATGTTTGTTTGCTCAGTGCTTCTGCTAAGTATTAGCCAAAATCTAGTCATTTATATTTAGTTGTGTAAATCTACATTAAATGCTTTCGTATATTGTGGAATGTACTATCTATCAAGATGCAGAGAACATTGTTTTGGCATGTCAGAGCCTTATTTGGTTAGCAGACTGCATGTGTTGGTATTTTTTTTTAAACCAATTATTTTGATGCACTGCAAAAGAAATTCAGTTTATATGATAAATCTAAAAAACCCAAATGAGACAGGAGTTATAAAAATTTACAGTAATAATAATCTTCCTGTATTCCCCACTAAGCATTCACACATGGATCGAAGGTAATTAGTGTTTCTCTGGAACTGTTTTAGTTGTTTTGCAGCAAATGGTATTCCTGAGATAAAGCTGCTGTTTTATAGCTCATTTCCCTTCTTTAGTATTAGAGTGTGTGTGTTTTAACTTGAGAGCTGACTGTTGCTTAAGAAGTTTTCTTATGGCAAAAATAATGTAAATAATTTACTATGATCTGAATTTTTCCAGGAACTCATTTATTATTAAGGTTATCACTTATTAATAAGAATTTTGTTTTTGCCCTTTATTAAAGTTGATAACTGTTATTAGTACTTTTGAAATATTTGTATGCTTTTGTTACCTTAAACATTTGAAGGAAGCACAAAAAAGTAGATTTAGTTAACCCAGGGAAACATCGATTTTTTTTGTAGTTCCAATTTTGTATCAGTTTTGTTTTTATGAAAGCAAAAAATGCATTGAAACTTACTAATGCAAACTCATTTAATGTAAATATCAGGATAATCTTAAACATCTGAAATGAGAAAAATATTGACATTTTTATTGTACCAATATTCTTCTTAGGCTCTCATTATCAGCTCTGAAAATCTTTTTGGAATGATTCCATATTCCAAAGTGAGTGGTTTATGAACTGTGTGTTTCATCACTAACCTAGTTGCCATGAGAAATATGTTTCTCCTACTCCCTTCTTTACTCTCTACCTCTCCCCCTTTCTCTCTCTCCCACCCCACCACCATTGTGTTGTGTTCAGTCTCCTTTTAGAAAGACCGTTAATGAAAAGAGCATGTACAGTTGACCAGAGACTGAAGTGAAAGAGAACCTGGACTTAACTTAATGCCACCATTAACTTAGATTTTGCCACCAAAAAATGCTGTAACGTTAAATCACTTTTAAACTCTTGGCTGAAAGGTGCTATGTAAATGTAAATATAAATAGTTCTTACTAAACTAGAAGTATTGCACAACAGACGTATTTAAAACTTGTTCTCTAGACTTTGAAACCTCTGTCCATCATGACTCCCTAGATTCAAATGTCAAACTGACAATGGGCATCATGGCAGTCTAGAGACACTTGTATGTAAAAAATGTAAATTCATTTTTAGGTGGACAAATAGAAAGTAGATATAGAAATGTTTTAGCTAAATACAGTAAGTGGGTAACTTAGATTTCTATTAACTGGCATCTAATTTGCACAACTAGGACATATCCCAAGACAACCGAGTTGAAATTTAATGAGTAGATGACCCAGTGAGGGTGAATGGTATCACAGCTTGACCTCTCTGGGATATTAATATCCTAAAATAAAGAACCTGCTAAACTAAGCAGCACATTATTGCTTCAAGCAGAAAATGCCTAAGGGCAGGACTAATAACCACATGAATATTTTACTTAATTCTCCGTAAGATACCTTCAGGAGCAAGCTTAGTAGGAAGTCACTGTTTTCCCTTGGATGTACTACTTCTGTCAGACAAAATAGTATAGCCAACTAGAAACTAACTGGGGCTGCTTTCCTGACTGGGGACTATCATGCTTTTAATTATCTGACTATTCTATATCACACCTAAACCCGCAAGGAAACTGAAGAATTCAATATACAGGGTAATAGCTTTGGCCCAGAGGACCAATAAAATGCTTCATACCTGGCCATGCAGAAGTGTTTTTGTCCAAGTTTTTGAACTGGTAGTTACCAAAGAGTTCATAAAACAGGTTTGTACGTAGCACCTTTCATGCAAGGCATGCTAAGAGCCTACTTAAAAATCACTGTGCATATTACAGAATTGCAGCCACTTCACAAAGCAAGTATTACAGCCTACAGTGTCTTAACAGTTTGTCAGGAAGTGAAAAAGATACTGTACCAAATCTGGAGTTACAATGAGTAATAATGTATGCTAAGTGACTATGTTTTATGAGAAAAGTGATGAAGTTTTGTTTTTTCTATGCTACAGTTAGTCCTGAGATGTACTTTTATCTTTAGGCTGTGAATGAAAAATACAAAAGGAGCCCATTTATATATAAACCTTGATGTATACATTAAGATATTTGGACAAATGAAAATGCCTTAAAAGGAATGCTTATGGATCAAATAACACCCTTTAGCAAAACCTGATATAAAATTTTTTTCTTTTCTACTAAGGGTTCTCTCTTTCCATGTTTGCCACTGTACTTTTAACTGTTATTAAACACCAAATTAAGTAATTACAAAAGCTGTAACATTTCCTTTAAAAGTAATGCTACTGAGGGGATTTGGCATTGAATGGCAAAATGGTTATTATTTGGCAATACCTAGTAACAGCCCCAGAAATCCAATTCATAACAAGATACCATTATTTGGTTGATCTTTTTAAAGTTGTTTTCATCTTAGTCTTTATTACTCCTAAAAATAATTAAGTTGGTTTAACAATTTTTTATCAACTGATAAAAAAATAAAACAAAATGGTGATTTTTATAGCAAGTGGTTAGTAATCATTTAAAAATTATAACTTTAGCCAACTATTAATTATTGCCTTTTCCTTTGCCCTGGAAAACGTATTTTCAGACATAACCCATAATCTTGTTTAGATGATTCTGTCCTAATCATTTTGGGATGAGTACTGGAGGTTTTGGAAGAAAGAGAGTCTGTCAGTACTGTCAATCCCAAAATAGGTTTAAATTCAATAATGGGTTGTACAAAACAATCTTATTTTGTTTATAAACTTTGTAAGGCAGAATGTTAAGATAGCAGCCAGCCTTGTGTCAGTCTTTCTGGGACGGTTTTCACCATAAGGTGGGGAGGGCAGTTAGAACAGTTTGTCTTTAATTCTGTTTACTAAACCTTCATATTATTTGCAAAGCAACCTAAATTTTACTTTCTTTAAGTACAGAGTAGGTTAAAAACTAACATGGCACCTCAGAATAAGGTTATCATTTATGGAATATATTTCTAACTCCCCATCTCTTAAATCCATCCTGTATTTTATAAAAATTCTGCCATGAGTAGACTTGTAGTTTCTAATCATCAACATCAAGAAATGACAAGTTTTTACTTTTATTTTGCCTCTTAGTTATACAAATTGGTACAAATTAAGTACACTATCTCTGCCAAACAGAAATTATATTTTTGTGATCAAATTTAGGAAAATTGGTTATCTAACAAATATCCTATGTGACTGTACTAGAGAAAAATGTGAACATTTTCCTGAAATATCCAGACTATTTTTGTTGTCTAGTTTATGTCACATCCTCAGCTAATGAAGGGCTTTGTTTGAATTTAAGTAATCAGGTGAAAAAAATGTCAATTTTCCTTTATTTTTTTAACCAGTCTCTGCATGACAACTGGCAATACATAATCCTGGGTCTTATAATGTTTCAGATGGCATTTGAAAGGGGATAAGTAAAATTTAATATAGCTTAGCAGAAGAAACTTGTTCAAGCATGTTCACATTTCCAACATAAAGACAAAACAAATGCTTAATGGTCTACATTTCCAATGGATATTCCTCTGCTGTTTAAAATGTAATTTCACCAGTATAATGATTATCACATTTTCCATACTTCGAGTAATTTTTCTAGATAAACATTTTCTAAAAAATACACTTTATAAAGGTAGCTTATTATTTTGATGAAAGAAAAATCACTGATTTAAAAACAAATATCCAGTAATGGGAAGTTTTTGCCCTTGCCCCCATGTTTGTTTTAATTATTTGATGGGGAGTTCTTTTACCTTAATTCTCATTCCCTGGAAATAACAACTATCAACAATTTAATATATTGTTATAATCCTTTTGATTCTTTCCCTATATGTATAATTTTATGTATGCTGTTTTTGCATCTTACTCTTTTCAAGTACAATAAACACCCTAAAGAAGATATAAGACACTTAATCTTTGTTAACAGTCTTGGCTTTGATGTTAATTTATTCTCAGTTACTGAAGGCATTCCTTCCATGAGTAATTGTCATGGGGGATAGGGCCCTGGAATCTGAGGTAAAACTACCTCAATATATCCTTTTAAACTTAGCTCCCTGAAAATGAAAAATTCCTAAAATAACAGGTAGTCATCAAACTGAGGTGCTAAATACTTTATCATTTTTAATGCTTTCTATCAATTACAAAAACATCTTTCAGAAATAAAGGTGTTCTAAACATTAGCCCAATTTGTTGTTTCCATCAAAATTTAGTATGATGGGATCATGTCCTGTCTTCTTCACAAATGTGAGAAAATCTTCAGGGCTCAATCCCATGGTTGCAGCATTGGTCATTGGATGAAAGTATACCTTTTCATGTCCACCTTCCAAAAAAGCAGAATCCAGAACAAATCTCACATCTCCATCATCACAGAAGAGTGCCAAGGGTGTGGCACAGCCTTGGCCAACTTTTAGTTTTTCTAGCATGGCTGTTTCATCAGCAAACCGCAGATTTCCACTCCCAATACCTAACTGCTTGGCAAGATCGTTTAAATTAATTTGTCTGTCATGAAGAATTGTCACCAGCCAATAGCTCTTTTTCCTTTTGTCTTTAAGAAATAAGTTCTTACTATGTGCTCCTTTCAAATGTTGAATATGAGGCATCATTTCTTCAACTGTAAATACCTGTGAAATGAGAAATTAAAAATAATATGCTTATATACACACACACACACACACACGGTTACATGAATTTTGCTTGCTTGGTGAAAACAGCAAGGTTAGGGAGTACTCAATGCCCTGGATTTCACTAGTAGAGACCCATTCCCAACCCACCACCAAATAATTACAAGCCCTTGCCATCTCAACTCCTCATTTCAGGACCCAGTTAGTTTCTCTTACGCCAGTTCTCTTTTCAAATGTGCCGGCCAACCCTTCACATTCCTAAAATGCTTTTTGTTTCTTCTTTAAACTTCTTGGTACTTAAAATTTTATAGCAGCCCAGACTCCTAGAATTGCAGTATACATCCAAACCACGATACCTTACTACAAATATATAACCATAGTGAAGATGAAAGGGCAGGGAATGAGACCCTGCACTAACAGGGCACATCAAAGAATTAGCAAATATGTACCAGTGAAAGGAGAGTTAACGAGGACTACACAAAAGGGAAAATGGGTCAGAGAAAATGGTGCCGTTTTTGAATGTTAAGTTTGAAAAGTTGAGAAATATTAATGGGTTTCTCTACCCTTTGAGGTCACCATATTTAGTAATACCGTTATTCGTGCCGTGGGTAAAAACTTTGTCCCCCCCACCTCTCAAGTTATACATTGATTCCGTTAAATACCGACAAATAAGTCTTCACATAAATACACTAACCTTGGTGTCCTGCCCAACGCAAGATGCCTCATACATAGTAGCTACCGCGCAAACGGCTGTTTGTTAACTTACTTTATCTTCACAAAATAAACATACCCCCCACACACCACATTAAGTTCTCAATATACGGCACTAGTTCTCAAATGTGCGCACATCACTCCAAAGAGGAAAACGTAAGTTTTCTCACAACATCATATTCCCAAATTGAGAGGCTTCGGATGTTCCTGTCGGTTCCCTTTGTACTCTGGAACTCGGGAAATGCCCCATAACGAACGTTTCTGCGACAGTCCTGGGACATTTGGGCTTCCCAGCCTCGCCTGACACCTCCCGGAGCCCCTCACCTCCGGGTGCTCCACGACTTCCGTGCGGATGGCCAGCTGGTCGAGTCGCAGCTCGAGTGCCTCCCGCAATTCGGCGGCTGCCATGTTCCCGTTGTGGCGGGCAGCGGGGAACAGGGCGCGATTTCCGGGGACGGAAAATAGGCACCGGGACCGGAAGTGCGTGGCGGGACTAAGGCCGGCGCCGGAAGCCCAACAGGGCACCTTCCGGAGGCGGGGCCGCTCCCCGCCCGCGCGTTCCTGAGTGTAGTTCTCTGTGGTCGCGCTGGAAGACCTGCGGAGAACTTTACCGAGTGTCCCACAGGAAGGTGGCACCGGCATTCGCATAGCCTTTCCTTACCCCCATGTAGATTTCCTAGGTCCAGCGTATGTTCCATTTGAGCAGCATCAGAGCCTCCATCAGCTTAGGGAGTACTGGACATCATCCGACGGAGGAGACCACTCGTTACAGGTGACCTGGACAGGGCAGAGGCTCCTCAACCCGTCCCCTGTCCTTGGATGTGTATTCTGTCCTCTGTTCTGCTACTAGGAGCCACTTGCAGAATGCAACCTTGAGAGCACGATGTGTTACTGAGACCATCTGGATGGTCTACTTGACTGAATCCCATTAAGACCTCTGTATAAACTTAGATTCTGGGGGCCCGTGGGTGCGGCTGCCCAAGGTAAGCCCTCCTATGTTAAGTTCCCCTGCTTTTTAAGCCTGCCACCTACCAATCTATAGTCTACTGCCTCTTTCTTCTGTTTCTCCTTGTCCTCCAAGTTCCAGACCAGTTCTGGGTTTCACCAGGAAACTTGCCTGAGGTTGTTACCAACAGCGAGAGGGGAGGGAGGCAAAATCCCTGGCCTTTTGAGACTTCGACTTTTGATTTATGAATTACAATTTTACATTTCACCTTCTCTGAAAGCCTTTGTTATTTATCTACAAATGATTATCCGCGGCAACCACAACTCTCCTTCCGAGGCAGTTTGCCTACCTCTTAGTGGGGGTGTTTTCCCTTGTCCTTCTAAATCCTTACTCCTTGAATGACGCCTGAAGTTCCATGCTATGGTTTCATTTCTGAATTTAGATTAAATACATATTCCAGATAAAACATAGATATTCCTAGGGACATTTAACTCTAGTATGAATGAATTTGGGTTATTTCTGGGGTACAAATTAAAGGCTTGGAGAAGGTAGCCTCATAAGAAAATATGCCAAAATATCTAAGTTCTCATCTGCATAACAGCTTTGATGGAAACTATCCAAGAGGAGGAAATTAGAGCCAATTTCACAACTTCACCCAGAATCGGCCTTGGATAGCACAATTTTAAAACTCAGCTTAACCCGCTGATTAAAACTATTAAGCCATGTTTCCCTTCAAATACTCCCAATTCTTTGATCTCTATTATAAAACCAGTAGGCCACTGTCTAGGGCCACCTAAATTCAGGAATCACTTAGAACATTTATTTTTATCCATGTTTATTATTTTCCCATTTGTGAATTAGCTTTGTTCATGGCTTGGTTCATTTTAGCCACTGAATGTATGGCTTTCACATTGATTTATATGAACCCTTTATGTAATCAAGTTATGTGCCTTTTATTTGCCATGTATCTTCCAAGTAGCTTTCAATTTTCCCATTTTAGGAGTTTTTTTGTTTTGGTTTGGTTTTTCTACAGAAGTTACTTACTTTTGTGTAACGAAATGCCATTTCCTTTTTAAGTTATTCAGATCTAAGTTAAGAAAGCTAAACTTCAGCAATAGAATAGTCACTCTCTTTTTTATTTTTTAAAGGATACACAACTCATTAATTCATTTAAAATTCATATTGGTATATAAGGTATCGTAGTGCTCACTTTTTTCACTAGGTTTCTCTCTGAGAATGATATTAGAAAGCATTAGAATCACAAAGATCTCCCTTCTAAGAGAATGGCATGTGTCAAATGATCACATTTGTTTGAAAGCTTTCAAGAGTACACAAATCCAAATGTGGCAAACTAACAGTAAACAGGAGAAAGAATTTGAGTGTGATTGTAACTGAGAAATGTAAATTATGCCTAGAAGTAGGAAAACAATAACCAAAGGTAGGATCTCCATGACAGCTACAAAAGAGCATAAAGAGGGAAAATTGTCAATAGATCCAGCGCATTGTCTAGGCATAGGTTGTTCTGACGCAGAAATCTCTTTGGAAATGAATTGCCAGTTATACAAGGTATGAATCCCCCGTCCCCATAGCTAATCTGTTGGAGGTGATCAGTTTGTTCTCTTTGGTTCCTGTCCCTACTGCAACAAAGAAGTGAAGGGCAGAGACACAGTAGTGAAGCAGAATGAAAGTTATTTGAGTATACTCTAAGGGAGGACCAGAGTCAAGGTAGATAAAGGCAGGTTTACTTGCTTATCTGGAGTAAGACAGAGAGAGTGAAGACTTATGCTTAAAGTCTGGAAGATAGAATGGAATAGCAAAGTGACAAAGACACCACTGGAAGAGCATAGAGACAAAGTGCAGTTAGTTGAGTAGTAAAAAGTCTTTTGAAAATACACACTCCAAGGAAGGGGAGTGTGGGCAATCTCAGAGAGGAGGAGGAGCACCCAAAGCCTGGGATTGTGTCTTTTAAGGTTTTCAAGAATGGGGCAAAGGTATAGGGTTGGGGGTATAGGCTTGTCAGGCAGTCTCATCTCATGATTCTATCTCTGGTGAGAGACAGTATGTCATTGTCTATAGCCAGTCTTCTAGGTTATTCTGTAGGACAAACCTTTTGTTCCTCCCTAAGTTAGTGGCTACCCCCAAGTATTGGGAACACATTAGTTAAGACTGCTTGCCTTGCCATAAGAGAATCTAACTTCCCAATTCTCTTTCAAAGTGGAAATTCAGCTTTAAGATAAGTCTCTCCTGTTAATATGCTAATCTCAGCATTTTTTAAGGAAATTTATCATAACGCTTGTCCCTTGTCTCTGCCCTATCTTACCAGCATTAGAGCAAGTCTCAAGGTCAGCCCAGATTCAGAGCATGTGGAATGAACTCACATTGAAAGGGTGTGAGTCCTTTCTAGCTCTCTGGCTTAAACTGATTAACTCCCTGAGTTCTTGGTGGGCCTCACTCTCTTTTCATCCCATTCATATCTGTCTTTCTGCCTAACAAATCCATCACACTAAAGTCTCTCAAATCATTCTGCTTCTCACCACCTCCATTACCCTAGCCCAAACTATCATTTCCCCCCGATCATCACTAATGTTCTCTTAATATTGATCTACCTGTATTTGACCAAGCATCCTGCTCCATGTGAGTCTTACAACCAAAGATTTTTTAAAGTAAAATCTGTCTATGGTAACAGACTCTTACATCACTGCTTAACCAGTCCTAACCCAGGTTAAATGCAGTATTTATCAAACATGTCTGCAGCATTGTATTGAATACAAAAATAAATTATATTAGCATAGCTCTTTGTCTTCAAAGCAAATACAAGCTCAAATTTACATTGGAAACAACATGAAACAAATTAAATTCAAAATTATCCATTATGAACTTGAGGAAGCAGATATCTAGTCAGAACTTGAATATGAAATCTCATTATTCTAGGAGAGGGGTAGCATCTGATAAATGGCAGGATAACAAATTATTTTACAAATGAAAAGAATAAGGAGTCTTGTGACTCTGTGAGAACACATTGAGGGAAATACATTTTTGCTGTCATTATGAAGAGTGTGCATACTTGATAGAAAAGGACAGACTGGAAAAGAGTGTCATAAGATGGAGTTATGCTGGGGTCTGTCAAACAAGGGACCCTCATCTCACGTCTGCTTAAAATAAATAGCTGCAACTGTAGCTACCTGGAAAAAGAAATTAAAAAGCCAGTTGTAAAATATTTATCAGGCATCATTGCATTTACTAGGGAAGAAGAATATTAAAAATCTTCATTTTTGACTGAAACGAAGGGCAACTGCAGGACAGGTAAATTGAAAGCTGTGCATACCCTAAAAGAAAGCAAAACAATAGAAAAAAAGAAATGCTTGCTGCAATCTGATTCTTTTAACATCAGGTTTTGGAACATCTGTATGTGCCAGGTTCACTATGGCACACCTCTATGTGCCATGCTTTCTATCAAAGACAAATCCTAGCAGAGTACTGAAACATTCACAGAGGGTAAAACCAAGAAAATGTGCCTATGTTGGGGGTTGAGTTGGTTCTTCCTGGTTCCTGTCCCCACTGAAACAAAGAACTGAAGGGCAGAGGTACAGTAGTGAAGCAGAATGAAAGTTTTATTTGAATACGCTCCAAGAGAGGAATGGGCCAGGGTCAAGGGAGACAAAGGCAGGTTTACTTGAATAAGAGAGGAAGGAGAAGCTCATTGATAGGAACTTGCAAGCTCAAATTAGAGCTCTCAGTAGCCCTTCCCTACTTAATCTGAAATAGGACAGAGAGAGTGAAGACTTGTGTTTAATGTTTTGAAAATAGAGTGAAATAGCAAAGTGACAAAGACACCACTGGAAAAGCATGGAGACAAAACATAGTAAGTTGAGCAGTAATGTTTTTTAAAAATACACACTCCAGAGAGGCGGAGCCAGGATGGCGGTGTGAGTAGAGCAGTGGAAATCTCCTCCCAAAAACACATAGAGCTATGAAAATATAAAAAAGAAAAATCTTCCTAAAATAGAGACCACAGGACACAGGACAACATCCAGACCACATCCACACCTGCAAGAACCCAGCGCCTTGCGAAGGGGGTAAGAAACAAGCCCCGGCCCGGCGGGACCCGAGCGCCCCTCCCCCCGGCTCCCGGCGGGTGGAAAGAAACCGGAGCGGTTTTTTTTTTTGGCGAGCGCTTTTTGGAAGCCTTAAAGGGACGGGCCCCCGTTGCTAGGGAGGCAGGGTGGCGGGACCGGTGAGCAGGTGCCTGGGACCAGCGCCTGAGGACAAAGAATATCCCGCGTTTCTCCCTGCGGGACCGGCGGGCGGGTGCCTGAGACCGGTGCCTGAGGACAGAGGAAATAGCGCGTTTTTCCC